GGATATAGGAGCGATCTAATGAAAATTTCGGTTGACGGCGACAGCAGCCACAGAGGCGAAGCGAGCAATAAATTGGATCCCAAAACCAAACGAGAAGTATGGAGAATAGAGGTAGCTCTTAGGCTAAACTAAACTAACAAATCTACCAAGCGTTGAGAAATTTTTAAAGATGATTTATAACAAGATTCAAAATTAAAGGTAAAATGGTACCCAAAAAACGTTAAAAAAGAAAATATAACTAATATCTTGTACAATCATAGTGACCTACTATAATTTAATCTATTGTTACAAAATACATGAATAAAATATTAAAAGAAAAACTCCTTCTTCTACCCCAGTAAACTCACTCCTTTGGTTTTCTTATAATAATAGTGTTAAAACTCTCTAGCAAAAAGTAAAAAAAAAAAAAAATGTGAAACTTATTAAAAACAAAAACTTCAGAAAACAGTGAGACTATGACACTTGCAGGTTTTTTTTTTTAAATTAGATACTCTCACTGTTTTCTCAAGTTTTTAGTTTGGAATACATACATAAGTTTCACAATTTTTATTTTATTTATTTTTGCTAGAGAGTAGAAACTACATAAGTTTGTAAACAGCAACATTTTTTAATTATAAAAAAAAAATCAAAAAAATTAACGTACAGGCTAGACTCTTGTAGGGCCTACGTTAGAAACTTTTCAACTTCCAATGTAGTTTTATACTCAAACAAAATCGACTATTTTTTATTCAACTAAATTATTTTCAAGATGACTGAACTTCCAAAACTACGAGAAATTGGCACCAATTTTAAATGGAAACCATCCACTTTTCAATTTGCTTCTTCAATTTCAATAAAACATACTCAGTTGTTGGTACTTAATTGTCATAGTGTATAACTGATGTGATTTTTTTAGATTGTGAACCGTCAAATTCAAAACTAATTTACTTTTTAGAAAATAGTAGATTAAAAAACGACTATAATTCTGTTTTTTCGAATCATCCTATGTTCTCATAATTTTTTTTTCAAAATATGAATAATAATAATAATTATTATTATTAAAATAGCACAAATGAAATCGTAACATTTGATGGGGTTTTTACACATTTTTTTTATTGCCTTTAGCCTTTAGAATCAAAGTAAAACGTGTGCAGATAGTCTTATAAATTGGCAAAATTATTTTAATTGTATTTCAATGTTTTTATTTTTTTGCAAGTGTCATATTCACACTAAGTTTTTTGATTTTTAATGAGCTTTACAGTTTCTATTTTATTTACTTTTTGCTAAAAAGCATAAAACTATAGGAGTTTGTTAATAGTATTTTTTTTTATTATAAAAAAAAATAAATGGAACAAAGGTATACAGACTCGTATAGAGCCTACATTAGAAACTTTTCAACTTCCAATGTAGTTACGACTTTAAAATTTTGTACGCAAAGAAAATCGACTATTCTTGATTCAATTAAATTATTTTCAAGATAACCAAACTTCTCAAACTACGAGAAATTGACACCAATTTAAAAAAATTTAAAAGGTAACCACCCATTTTGATAACACTTTTGAATTTGAATTCTCAAACTCAGTGAAACGTACTCAGTTGTTGGTACTTATGTCAATTTTTTTATCGAATCGCAATAATAAATATTTTTTGCAATTATGAGACGAAGGTTTGAAGAATCTTCTAAAGTACTCGTACTTAATTCAAAATTGTCAACAAAATTGTTTATCATCCTTTTTTCTCATAAATTCTTTTTCGCCGCGTTTTTTTTAAATAATAAATCGTAACATTAAATGAGGTTTTTTTATTATTTTTTTTCTATTAATTTTAGAATTCGATTTATTTTTTAACACCAAATTATACCTTATACAATTAATAAAAAATTAATAACGACATTGAATTTTTTAAGAGCTCTATTTATCTACTTGAAGAAGATTCTTTGGAAATCACCAGTTATACAGTGTGTCAAACTCGCGTCCCGAAGAAAAATTTCAAGTAATATAAGATACCAAGAACACAGAAAAAATTTTATGTCAAAAAATTTTGACATTGATTTTTTGATATTTGGTCTATTTAATGATAGTCATGATATTGTACACAGTTTTTTTATCATTATTTAGTAAAGGTGCAAAAATTTTGCCAATAAAAGCGACAAATAGAGAGTTAGAATTTAGAATACAGCTTACTTGTTTCCTCTCCTAATAGCCCGTAGCAAAAAAAAATATTTTTACAACAGAAATAAATAGAATCAAGGTGTAAAATTTAAACTCTCATAACTTCATAACATAACATTTTTCTCATGTTCTTGGTATCTTACCTTGGCATTTTGCTCGAGGGCGCGAGTTCTTGCGCACCCTGTAGATTATAACAGATATAAAACGTTGCAAAAATCAGAGAACAGTGATTCTTTCTTTACAAAAATCTAAAATTAAAAACTACAAAAGTGTTGGGCTCAATTGTGGCACTGATTGGTTGTGTGTCATCCGATAATACGTGAATTAAATATGAAGTCTTCAGTCCAAAGAATAGCTTACATTCGGTGCGTAGTAGTCGCGAGGGTATAGAGGGTGTAGTTGATAGCATGCAAATAAGGCCCGAAGAGCTTCTTGCATCGTTCACACGAAGCTTTCTCTAAGCTTAACACCTGATAAGGCCTCCACAAAGGCGTCGCGATCGCTTGTCTAACACCCGTAATTACAACATTACTCGAAAATGTAGTTCGGCTATTCGCCCTCATATGCACAGAACTGTACCATCAATCTTTTCCCGTCGTAGGCGAATTTCACTCCTTCGTACGCACTGTATTTTATATTATAATCGTTAAATAGGATATAAACTGCGAAAATGATGTATGGGCTCTGGTTAGTAAATCTACGTTCGCAAGGGTTGCGTTTGGTCGAGATAAATAATAAGAGAGCGGTCATTCGTCATACTCAAAAGGCAATCAGCTGCGTGCCAACAATGGCGACGATAACTGGCCGCTGCTTCTTTGTTTGAAGGGCTTTGTATATTTCGTGATCAATCAGGCGGGTAATTAGGGCAACGGTCACCAAAATAGTACACACAAACGCAGTGAAGAACCAATATAAGTAACAAAAGGTGTTTATAAATACTTTAAATAAAACAAATATTATTAAATTTTATTAAATTTTTATCAGTGCAGTAACATTCGCAGTTAAATACAGAGTGTTAAAAAATTATGAAATATTTCAGGAGATAATAGTATGAACCAAAACAAACAAAAAACTCTTAATAAACATAAGTCTGCAAAGATTATTCGTTTTTTAAAACATTTATTTGCAAACTGTTCAAACAAAAAAGAAAATCTTCTAGTACAAATTCTAAAAATTTTCACTTTCGATATCTCTAAAACCGTTACTTTGTGGCTTTTTTGGTTATTTTGGTCCATAGCACGGGCGCCGACTATATATGGGTGCATCGGGGTGGATGCATCTATTGAAAATATTGTACACTTGCTTAAGGTAAAAAAATAAATAATAATAAATAATTTTTAATAATATTTAAAATTATTGAAATTTCGTGTTTATTCTAACCTTTTTTTAGTAACATTGCATTCTTTAAAGCCACTTTTAATGTCAAAGATGTCTTAAATTTTCAATTATTCTTTTATTTCCTCTTGAAGAAAATGAATTAAATTTATAGTTTATGTTATTCTATTTTGTTTTTCCATTATCCAAATTAATTCAAAATTAAACTTTTCAGTGAAAAAAATTTCTTATTATCCCAAATACTTAAAACGACTAAACATTCTACATAAACTTTTTTCCAAAAAATTCAGGAAACTAAAAAAATTCAAAAAATTTCTGGTGATTTTTGAAAGACTGTACCTCAATGAAAAATCATCGTATTTAGGTTTAAAAAAATCCATTTTGAAGCTTCAAGCTTCTAATCCTGAGATCTTTTACCAAAAAAATTTTTGAGACACGATTATTACGCAATCCTAAGAAATAGTGCGAGAAAAAAATTTGTAAACTGTTTTATTCTTTTTTTTTGGTCTACAAACTTGGTAAAATTCTTATTAGTTAAATAAATACATGGGCCGGATAGCTTGTTCATTCAGCTTTAAATTACTTTTTTTATGTTTTCTTAACGTTAATTTGTCGGACTTTTAATGAAAAAGAATTTTTTTGTCTTTGATCATCGAAGTCTTAGCAACCAATAAGGATAGTTTCAAAAACTGGAATAACTTTCTTACAAAAGTTTTACCATTTTTGAAAAAAAAATCTTTCTCTCAACATTTATATAAAGAAAAGAGAGAAAAGTAAGTTTTTGTTGTTTTAATAAATCTCCGGTATATTTAGAAATATTGATGGGAAGACTAATGAGTCGGTTTTTTTAATGTATGTACCTCCAAAAACTCTGTAAATTTTTAAATCGATTCTTCGAACTGTTTTCTCAGACCAATTGATCAAAGTTTTACAAAAAAATTTAAGAAATTTGTTTGTTCACCTAATTTTATAGAATAGTATTTAAAAAATTTATATAGAATGTTTTGTCGTTCTGAAGTATTTGAGATAATAGCAAATATTTTTTCAAGGGGTTTTTCACTGAAAAGCTTAATTTTGAGTTAATTTGAAATAAGGAAAAACAAAATCAAATAACATAAACGATAAATTTGATCCATTTTCTCGAAGAGAAAAATAGAATAATAGAAAATTTAAGATATGTTTGAAATAAAAGTGATTTTAAAGAATGCAACGTTACTAAAAAAAAGATTAGAATAAATACGAAATTCCAAATCTTATTAAAAGTTATTATTATCATTATTTTTACCTTAATCCCCGATGCACCCATGTAGTCGGCACCCATGAAAAAAGGGTGAAATCAGAAGTGATAAAAACCACCGTTAAAATCTAAACAAATTTTTGGCAACAAGTAATTAATGAAAATGCAAAATAATGAATGATTTTTTTTTAAATAAGGCCATTTTCCATCTTAGACAAAAGACGTAATAAATGAAAATGACTAACACATCTTATAAAATATCTATGCAAAAACTAAAAAAAATTCGCCTTTCAATCACAAAAATACGACACTTACTTTCGCTAATTGACTCCTCAACTCTTCAAATTCCGTATTCGCTTGTTCGAAGTCGTAATCATTTTCAAACTTCAAAGTATTCTTTGCTTTATTTCCTGGCGTCGGCTGTCCTTGATTAGGTTTAAATCCTCCTCTTGGTCTTCCTCGTGGCCTCATAGGACCGCGATTTGTCCATCCCCCCCTTTGTTGATTGCCAGGATGAGGTCCTTGGGGTCCTTGATTCTGTGTACGCATTTGAGGTTGTCTATTTTGATTCCTTTGATGATCCTGCTGTAATTTTATTTATTAAATAACTACATTTACTTTATTTCATTTCTTACATGTCCATCTCTCGAATTTTTTCGTTCTTGCGAAGTACTCTTCCTTTGTTGATTGCGTTGACCTGGGGGCTGAATTGGTTTCGGAATCTTCTTGTCGTCTCGTTTACCAGATCCACCGGCTTGCACACCTTGATCATTAGTGGGGGATTTACGCGATTGACTAGCTGGTGTCGTACTCCTTGAACCGCCTCCAATAATGTCTAAAAGCGATCCTTTAGAAATGAGACGTCTAGCCAGTTGCCATCGCGGCTTACTTACATAGCATGCATCTGGTTTTATTAGTAAATTCAAGCACAATGCTGTTATATCACAACTTTTACCACACAGAGAAAAACTAGTCTCATTTTTATATTACAAAACGTCCAAAATTGAAGTTTTTTGTTACTCAAATGTATGCAAATTGCCCAGTCAAATTAAACAAATCGGTGGAAAAAAATCCTAGAGTTGGAATTTTTTTTAAACGCTTTCTTTACACTTGGGTAAACATATATCAAGAGTCCCCGAAGTTGGGCGGTGAGCTCGAGGGGGGGAGGGGGGTTAAAGGTGTCTTTTTTTTGTTTTTGCTTATATCTCGGAAATTATCTTCTTATCAAAATTAAAGCTTATAAAATTTCCTACAAAAATGGTCCTTTACATTTTTGTTGTAGGACTAACCGTAAGCGATTTATAGGACAGACAAAAAACATCATTTAAAAAAATGTGCTTTATCTGCATTTAAAACAGAATTAGTCTTGTAAAAAAACTGACAGTAAATTGAATTTACTGGGTCCAATACTTCATTAAAGGAAGGGGGAGTCACGAGGGTCTATAAATACAAACTCATCGTTTATGTAATTTATGCAGAATTTTCTGTAGAAGTCTATTTCTGCATCAAAATTTCCTACAAAATGGTCCTATTCATTTTTGTCGTAGGACTAACCGTAGGCTTCAAAAGTTTGGAGTCTACATAAAATTGCATTAAAATACTTTGAAACATATTTCATTAGNGTATTTTTTTTATATTTTTGAAAATTTGTAAAAAAAATCGAGAAACAATACATACTAACTAATTAGCTTTTGCATACCCAAATTTGATTTATCTCAAATTAATTGCATTAATTAAAAGTTATACCAACATACGTATAGAAGATCTGAAAAGAAACTTTTTATGTTATTTGTACTGCTTTAAAAACGATTAGTTTATCAAGTTTTTTGTTTATGCACCCATTAATTAATCTTGTTTTCTGAAACAATTTCTTTAAATTCTCATTTGAGCTTTGATCCACTTTTTGGGCAAATCGTTCAGAACCATCCACCATATTGTTTTTATTTTCGTCGGAATCCGCCATCGAAAGGGCGCAATAACTGATTTAATCCCCTAAATGCTCGTACCGTCCGAAATCGTCCTCTCCATAAATATTTCTTGTCTCCGTTGTAAACATCGTCTCGGTAATGGGATTGTTTTATCTTACATTTCATTGGCATTAAGTGCTCCGTCCCTGGCTTGGCACTTTTATTAGCTCACAATACGCAATATTGTCTTGTCTCCCGCTGTTCCTCCTCCTTACCTAAGCCTGCAATTAGCAGGACATCCCGAATCGTATCCGAAAATCCTGCTCCTTTTCGACTTGCAGGAAAGACTCGCTGAGTTTGATTCAACCCGTTTGATAACGATAACGTTTCTGTTTTGATTTGTTGTGAGAGAGATTTCTTAAGGGTGTCCTTTGCAGACTGCAATATCAACTAGTATGCAAATTGTATGCAAATTGCGAGCGTTATGCAAGGGAAGGATAAATCTCCCTCTGACTCATCGCGCAAGGTCCACGTTTGTATTAGGATACCTTTAAAAGTGATTACAGTTACGTTTATTTCTTCTAATGCTCTTAACTCGCTGCAGCAGGATTATGCATCTCATAAATAAATTACACGGCATTAGCGACGATTCTTCTTACTGAAAGTTTTATCTGAAGTTGCAACTAAAATGTGTCCTGATTGTCCAAAGCAGTGTATCACAGATTAATACGGTTATTCTCGTGTGTTTCAGGATGGAGCTCATTACGCATCTGAAACTTCCTGCTTCGCTCCGGTCGCATTGTGCGGCTTCCGGAGTCCGGTTTGCCGGACAGACCAAGATAGACGATGTATGGTGGAATCCCTGGGACACCACTGATTTACTGCGGCTGAATTTTTATACGGTCCTTCCTATACGGGACTCGTACTAATACATGATTTACAACGGACATAAATCCACCCTCAATCCTCCAACAACAAGATAATGAATTGTTGGGAAATTCATTTCCTTAATTGCGCACATGTTATTAAACTTGCTACAAGCGATTTTGAACCAATTACCAAAAAAAGAAAAGTTCTTTGTGTGTTTTTGTTCAAGTAATCATCTATCTTATGAATAATTTAGAACCACACAATTAGAGAAAAAATGATAAACCTCTCATAAACTTATCTATAACTCTTACAGACATCTAATAAGATTAAAACTTATTCATTCACAAAATTTTACTTGATATTTTAATTTTTTACAATAAAAAGCTCTAATGCTTTTATGTTTATGCGCTTTCATACCTTGTTCTTGTGCTTATGCTCTCTTATTGTGTTTATTAGAAATAGAGAAAAATTAAGTAGTGACCTACCAAAACTTGCGCCCCCAAAAAAAATGCTACGTAAGAAAAAATATTGAAAAAATTCTCTTTATAAAAATTTCGAAGTTATGAGGGTTTAAATTTTGCACTTTGACTCTATTTATTTCTGCTCGAAAAAATATTTTGCAAGTTTTTTTGCTCAGGCTATTAGAAAAATTGTAACTCTGTTTAATGTTATTTGTGGTTTTTATTGACAAAATTTTTGTACCTTTATTAAATAATTATAAAAAACATATACAAGATCATCAATATCATTAAATAGACATAAAAAAATGTCAAATGTCAAAAATTTTTGACAGACAGAATTTTTTCCATGTTTTTGTCCTGGTATCGTATCTTACTTGAAATTTTCCTCTGAAGGCGCGAGTTCTGACACACCCTGTATATTCATATAATTTTTTTAATTTTTAATGTTTGTGTTTCTACGACGTTTTATATACTTTTAGACCATTTGTAGTGTATTTCGATCAATTGTAAAGTTTTTAAAATGTTGGTCAATTTTCAGTACCCGAACCACTTTATTAACAATAATTCATAAATTATTAGTGATAGCCCCTTATGTGTAATACCGACAAAAACACATTTAATTTTCTATCATAAAAAAATCATTGTCCTATGTTAAAATTTGAGGAATCGACTGAAAAAAAGTTGGTTACATTATCTTGAATAGTTTTGAAGTTATGAAATACTATCGCAGAAAATTCTAAGAAACTAGGTACGTTTTATCGACAATTTAGTAGCGAATTCAAAAATGCAACATAAATTGGAGGTTTTTATTTTATAAAAAACAGAACTTAATTGTGTATCTTATTTTAGAACATCCTGAATTAAAACTGAAACAAAAATATTTTTGCAATATGCTTCATTATAAAACCTAACGTTTTAAAAAAAAAATAAGTTGATACCGTAAATAGAAAAAAAAGTTATGGAGCTTGCACGCACCCCTGAGTCACCCTGTATTTGAGAGTGTTTTATTTTCAAGTATTTCAGCTACATGGTACTAATACTCCTTTACTTTTCAAATAAATGTCTACATTAAGATACTTTTTTGTTAGTTTATATGTAGTTAAGAAAAAATATTTTTTACTATTTTACCAACGCAAATGAACACCTAAGAAAAAATAAGTCAGTTGAAGCTGTGAAGCAGATATTTTAATATTTGTTTTATAAAATACAAATACTATTAATGGAATTTTTCACTTGAACTTTTATTTTAAAAAATACTAGTAAACACTGATTTTTTTTGGAAGATTTGTATAAAGAATTAAAAACTGTGATAAAAGCAATATTAATATCAACATACTAAGTATTAACACAAAATACAGATGAAAGTGTGAGTTGTGTAGGTATTTGTTTCGAAACGGAGGAAGTAACAGCAATTTTATATTATGTTATGGTTTTTACCACTATTCGACTTGTTGAAGCCAAATTTAATTAGATTTTTGCGACACTTAGTCCGCGAGTTTTTAAAGTTTGAATAAAACTAATTAATTCGTTAAAAATCCGTAATCCGTCGAAAGACAGCAACAAATCTCAGCTCCAGTCCATTGAATGCGCCTTAATTACATTAAAGCCCTAATGAAATAAAAACTTAGAGAGACAGAATCTTTTCGTCGGTAATTTTCATGATGAAAACATAAATAAAAGTTCGTCCGAGGGAAAAAAAAGCCTTCATCAAGAAGAAGCAATCCGGAATGCAAAATCTTCGGTTTGATTAAAGAATTAAATAAAGGAAAGTAATGGATTCAAGTTCATCAAGTTTGTTTTGACTGTCGTCTCGCAGACTTTTCGTTGATTGCAAAAACACAAAATCAACTTTACTTCCCTTGATTGAAGAGACTTTTAATTGTATTATGCAAATCCGGTGTTTTTTATATTTGCATTCTTGGTGGCAAATCCGAAATTTGCAATCGATGGCGATGGCGTTTTTCCCTCGGTAATCGTCGCGAAAATTTCGAATAAAAACCCTCGGTGACCCTTATTGAATCGGTGGTGCGTTCGGGGCGAATCAGAGGATGATCGTTATAAGAAGCGCCTGCAAATATTTAGCTGTTGAATATGCATGAGGCCGAAAGTACACCGTCTGTTTTTCCATCGTCCTCAGATTGTCACGAGGCCAGCCGACGCTCGGCATCGTCCACTAATGGCGCGCACTCTTATTCCAGATCAATTTTAAGCACTCATAACTCCTATTTTGCTTGGAAATTGTTCCCTACACGGATTGATATGCAAATCTCGACGGCTCTCCGACGCCTTTGTCACCTACCACTTCAACGAATTTCGCAAATTAAAGTACCAGAGGAGTGCAAATCGAAAACTGTCTTCGTGACGTATTCTAGTCAAAATAACGAGCATTATTTTTATTCATTGCACTCAAGCGTTTAACTATTTTTATTTTTTAATTCGTTACTATTCACGTCATTTAGAATTCGTAAGCACATATCGGAGAGAACGAATGGGTATCCAAACCTTTTTTTCTTCTTAAACAGTTTTTGTTAAAAAATACGATTTTCTTTAATTATTTTTTTGACTTTTTTAGAAATAAATTAATAGGTATTTTATTCAGAATTATTTTTATAAATTGCTGTACCTCAAAAGTTATAATGTTTTAAAATATTTCGAGGAATACAGCAAAAATAAACAAAATCGATACACGGGATGACACTTGAAAAAAATTAAGTTTGTATTACAAATTTGAAAAAAATTAAA